GAAGTGAAATAGATTAATACATGAAAAGCTTATTTATGTAGTTGTGACAATAGATTCATTAAAAAAAAGTGATACCAATTAATCATAAATTTTTTTAATACATTACTAAAAAATAATTAAAAAAATAACATACAAACTTTTTATAAATAACAAAATACAATGAGAACGATAAGTTAATTAAATTAAATATGAATAATAAAATAATACAATAAGAACACTAAAAAATATTAATACATTATAACGTTGGACAAATAAAACAGTGAAAAAGATAAATGTTTGGTTTCAATAAAAGGTTATATCTGTGTATTAATTTTATTTTTATTTTTAATGTTTGTTGGCTTTGCATTACAAGAATTTTTAATATTTGTACATGCAAAAAGCTGCTATCTTTTGACTTTGGCTGAGGGCAGTAACGCAACAAAGAGGAATCAACAAGTAAGGCACAGAAGCTGGAGCATCAAGACCAAAGGTAAAATTAAACATTTCTTATAGAGGTGTTATACTAACTCCTTGCCTGTGAACCTAAACCTGAAGAGAAGGGGAGTAGAGACTGATATCATATGCCCCTGTTGTGCAGAAGATGTCGAAACAGTTGAGCATGTGCTCTTGACTTGCTCTAGAGCCAGAAAAATTTGGAAATTTGCACTTGTCAATTGGGAGGGAATAGGAGTGGACAACTGCAATTTTAGAGATTGGTGGGAATAATCTGCTCCATTGACAAGTCTAAAGTTGCTGAAGCCAGAATCAATCTCACCACAACATATTATGGTGACTTTAGAAATCTCGGAACCTTTGGGTTTTTGAAAAATCCTAGAGACTAGAGAGCAGCATCATCAAAGGGGCACTTAGGGAATGACATGAGACTTTGATGAGAGAATCATGAAGACAGGTTGAACATGGAGTGTCTAGCTAGGTCTACTTTGTAGTTCAGTGGTTAAACTCTATTGTTTGTACTGGTATCTTTGCTATCTTGGTTTATGTTCACTAAAGGGATCATTTATCCACTACCTTTAGTGGTTCCATTTGTGATTTTTATTTATCCACTACCTTTAGTGGTTCCATTTGTGATTTTTAGCCTACTTGTATTAGTAGTGCTCTCTGGCATTGCCTTCGGCATTAGGACTTGTACCTCCTGTATTGAACCTTATTTTTCTGTTGATGTTATCAGTATTCCTATCGTCTTTGGGGAAAAAAATCTTAGTTATGTACTTGTGCCAATACATTTACTTAAAAAAATTGGATACTAACCATACTTTTTTTAATACACTAATATTACAAAAAAAAAAGTATTAATTATAAAATATAAGAAATTTTTTAGAAGTTACATTATAAGACACCCATAAGATAATTTTAATTACAAAGTTATATTATTTTATGTGGTAGTATTGACATTTCAGATTCTAATTACATGTGGTTGAATGAGATAGTGATGATGTTATAATATTACATTTACTTTCTTAAAAGTTAAAGTTGTGGAGGATAATATGGA